TCAGCTCAAGGCGAGTGCTCTACCACTTGAGCTACAGTGCCACTTCCGGTTTTCTGGTGGTTTATTGGAGATAGGAGTCTCACGGTCTCTCCTGCCCAGGCTGGCTTTGAACCTCGATCCTCAGATCTCAGCCTCCTGAGTAGCTAGGATTACAGGCATGAGCCACCAGCGCCCAGCTAAAAGACGGAAAGTTTTACCATAATGACCGTCCTTAAATGTTCATTTCTGTGTCATTATATATGTTAACCTTTTTGCAACTATCATCTATCTCAGTTTTTCTTCTTCTGCAATTGAAACTATACCCATTAAATAAAACCTCCTCATTAATCCTCTCCCTGACCTTTGGGTACCATTCTATTTTCTGCCTCTATGAATTTGACTAGATACTTCATATGAGTTGGAGTCACAGGACTTGTTCTTTGGTGTCTGACTATTTCACATAGCATAATGTCTTCAAGATTCTCGCAAGTTCTAACATGTGTCACTCTTTTTAGACTTTTTTTTGGGGGGGTGGGGTGGGGAATCGGTCATGGGTCTTGAGCTCTGGGCCTGGGTGCTGTCCCTGAGTTCTTCAGCTCAAGGATAACACTTTACAGCGCCACAGTGCCACTTCCGGCTGTTTCTGTTTATGTGGTGCTGAGGAATCAAACCCAGAGTCTCATGCATGCAATGCAAACACTCTACCACTGAGCCACCTTGCCAGCCCCTAGACATATTTTTAAACTGTGGCAAAATACTTCAGATAAACAAGGTTCACTGATTCCATTGCTTTTATGCTTATGGCAAGGCAGAAACATCATAGTGAAAGAACACAGTGGAAGCAAGCTGTTCAGATTATGGCAGTTGAGAAGCAAAAGAGACAGGAAGGGGCCAGGGATAAGATATGACCCTTAATGACATACCCTCCAGTGACCTACTCCTTTCAACCAGACCTATCTTCGTAACAGAACTTTTTTCTTTTTTTTTTTTTGCTTGTCGTGGGGCCTGAACTCTGGGCTGGGGACTGCTCTTCAGCTCAATGCTAGAGCTCTACCCCTTAAGCCACAGCGCCACTTCCAGCTTTTTCTGCTTATATGGTGCTGAGGAATCGAGCCCAGGGCCTCATGCATGCAAGGCAAGCACTCTACCACTAAGCCACCTTCCCAGCCCACAGAACCTTTTTATATGAATTCATCAATGGATTAACTCTTTGATGAAGTTAGTGCTAGTCTCAATAGTGCCACCAGCTAGATCTCAGCCTCCTGAGTAGCTAGGATTACAGGCCTGAGCCACCAGCGCCCGGCTCTGTTTTTTTTTATATATTGTTACTGTTGCTGGTTTTTGGTTTTTTTTGGTTTTTTTGGGGGGGGGTGTTTTTTGTTTCTTGAGAAAGAAAAAAGTCGGGCTGGGAAGGTGGCTCAGTGGTAGAGTGCTTGTCTCATATGCATGAGGCCCTGGGTTTATTCCCCAGCACTACATAAGCAGGAAAAGCCAGAAGTAATGCTGTGGCCCAAATCTTAGAGCTCTAGCCTTGAGCTGAAGAGCTGAGGGACAGCACCTAGGCCCAGAGTTCAGGCCCCACAACCGACCCCAAAAAAAAGAGAAAAAGAAAAAAAGTCAGATTGGGAGTGTGGTTCAGTTGGTGCAGGGCCAGCCAGTGAGCAAAAGTAAGCATCAAATAACAAGTTTGAGACCCTGTCTCAGACAGAAAAAAAAAGTCTAGCAATGGGCTTGAGTTTCCTAATGGAAGTAGTCACCTGTTTGTTTTTTCTGGTTGTTACTTTGCAGTATTTTGTTTTGTGGAATTAAAATTAACTCCAGTAATAATGTCTAAAGAAAGGATTAAGCATATTATGCCACCTGGAGCAAAAACACTTCTAGCATTTGAAAATGGAAATTCTACAAGAAGATAGTATTACTATAACTATTAATAATTATATTTTGCCTTAATATTTGTTAATTTTAGTGGAAAGGAAAGATTAGCTATAAAATTCTGTGTTGCCCATAATACTATTTTTTTTTCATGTGGAACAGTTGACAGCTATCAGCCAATTCGTCTATTAAGTAAACCTGGGGAACTGAGGAAAGAATATGAAGAGGAAATAAGCAAGGTAGGCGCTGAATAGTTCTTTTTTTTTCTGTTGTGTTTTCAGTCTGAGATTTTACATATAGTTTCATAGTCTTGTGTTACTACTATATATTCAAAAATAAGTGATTTCAATGTATTTTATGAGGGATCTATTTTAAAAGATTTATTCAAAATAGTCATAAACTAGTTTTAATGTACTTATACAAAATTGGTATCCTTATTTAGTAGGGATCCCTAAGCATTTAAGTATGGAGATTTCTTTCATTGTTCTGAACTTTGAGCTGCACGGATGGAAAGGGATAGGAGATTACTGGTTAAGATGAGGAATACACACAGGGCTAATTAGGAAACACTTAAGCAGGAAAAGTATAGTGCTTACTTCAGTGTCTCACTAGCATAGATCCAGAACACCTTGTATTCCAGAACACCCTTGTATCCTGCTGCAGGATAGTAGTACTGTCCAGTAGAAATACTGGAAAGCCACTGTATAAGTGAAATTTTTCTTTCTTTTTTTTTTTTTTTTGGGTCCGGTCGTGGGGCCTGAACTCTGGGCCTGGGCGCTGTCCCTCAGCTCTTCAGCTCAAGGCGAGTGCTCTACCACTTGAGCTACAGTGCCACTTCCGGTTTTCTGGTGGTTTATTGGAGATAGGAGTCTCACGGTCTCTCCTGCCCGGGCTGGCTTTGAACCTCGATCCTCAGATCTCAGCCTCCTGAGTAGCTAGGATTACAGGTGTGAGCCACCAGTGCCCGGATTAATTTTGATGTTTTGAGGAAGGATCTCACTAATAGTCTAATCTGGCCTTTAACTTACCCTCAAACTCACAGGCTGGCCTCAAACTCACAGCCTCCCTAGTACTGGGATTACAGGCTAATAATAACTGCATTGAAAAATACTTTTTAGGCCAGGTTCCAGTGGCTCACTCCTGTAATCCTGACTACTCGGGAGACTGAAATCTGAGGATCATGGTTCAAAGCCAGCCTGGACAGGAAATTCCATGAGACTCTTATCTCCAGTTAACCACCAAAAAAACTGGAAGTGACTCTGTGGCTTAAGTGGTAGAATGCTACCTTGAATACAAAAAGGCTTGTGAACAGCTGCCAGGCCAAAAAGCAACCAGAAGTAGAGCTGTAGCTCAAGTGATAGAAGTGCTAACCTTGAGCAAAAAGCTCAAGGATAGTACCCAAGCCTAGAGTTCAAGCCCAAGGACTGACAAAAACAAAAAAAACAAACTTTAGATAATAGGGTGTGGTTCAAGTGATAGAGTGCCTGCCTAACAAAGTACAAGTACCTGTTCCCCAGTACCACCACTACCAAAAGAAGTACATGTAGAGTACTTGTGTAGTATACACAAAGTACTGGTTTCTATCCTTACTGGGAGGGCAGCAAAAGCTTTAAGTGTGTATGCATGTGCATACTCCAGTAGCTAGGATCAGGGCACTATCTCTAGCTTTTTCTCTCAAGACTTCCATTTGAGCCACAGTTCCACGTCTAGCATTATGCTGATTAATTGGAGGTAAGTGTCTCAAGACTTTTCCTGCCCAGGCTAGCTTCAAACCACTATTCTCAGATCTCAGCCTCCTGAGTAAGTAGAATTATAGTCATGAGCCACCGCACCTGGCTGTATTATTTCTTTTAGGCAGTTTAGTGACTGTAAGCATTACTATAGCTCTTAGAACCTGAGTTGCTATCTCAGCTGAGCACCAGTGGCTCATTGCTGTAATCCTAGCTACTTAAGATGCTGAAATCTGAGGATCATGGTTCAAAGAAAGCCTAGGCAGGAAGGCCTGTGAGACTCTTATCTCCTTTTAATTATTAAAAAAAAAAAACAAATGGAAGTGTGGCTCAAGTGGTAGAGTTTCTAGTCTTGAGCACAGAAGTTCAGGGACAGCTCCCAGGTCCTCGGTTCAAGCCCTAGAACTAGCACATACAAAAAAAGTTACTTGATTTTTTTTTTTGGTTGGCCATGATGATTAATTGGAGATAAGAGTCTCATGGACTTTTCTGCCCAGGTTGGCTTTGAATCATGATCATCAGACTCAGTCTCCTGCGTAGCCAGGATTACAGGCGTGAGCCACTGGCGCCCCGCTACTTGTTTTTTTACTTCTGTTTTTTTCCTCTACTTATCATGTACTTACTTGCCATAGTGGTTGCCTGTTGGGCACTGCCTGCTGACTGATTTCAAAGGTAGGTCCTGATTAGTGAAGCCAGTGTTGATCATTCTATCCTCTTTGCTAGGGTTTGATTCAGGAAGGTAAGCCTACCTTACTCAGTTGATGGCATTCCAAGCATTGAGTCAAATGTTTCCAAGAAAAACTACATTTGTGTGGCAGTATAGTAGAAACTGATGATTTATTTATTTTTTATTTTTTTTTT